CTGCACTTGAGCGGTTTTCTTTCATAAAATTAATCGATAAACTGCACTTGAGCGGTTTTCTTTCATAAAATTAATCGATTCTAGACTAATTTGCAGGGCTGTGTAGTCGCGTAAAAATCTACTGACTCCAACTCCGAGTTTTCCTTACCAATCCGACTCCGACTAAAACACCAAAACTCACTACTCCGACTCCACAGCCCTGCTAATTTGACTCGAGCATTTCCAAAACACGTATCGTTTTTGAGAACGATCCGTATAAACAAAAAGTTGTAGGAATACTTTCCGTGTGTGCATCGTCATTTTAGTTACCTAGGTATACATTAACGGTCTCTCTTAAATGAAACAAATATACGAAAGCACGAAACAGTTCGTACGCATTTATATATATATATATCATTCGATTCTGCGTTCGAAATGACGTCACAATACGTCTAAATATTCTCATTAATAAAAAATAAGACCTGTTTACGGGATGGAAAACGTTAGCTTCGGTCTAACGCGGACAACAAAGAAGTCGTAAAGACCAAAATAGCAGTTTGTCTTTGACCTACTTTATACTGTAAAATCAATTTCGGTATTTAAGTTTAATACTTACATTTACGTCAAATCCTCTTCAAAAGACAATAATATTGCTCAATTAACCATTTAAAAAGTGTCTATCCGACTGATTCCAATATTTTCTAGACGATAAACAACACAGACCAACACACTACGAACAATACCTTCTATGACGTGTTTTTATAGTCCGTTCATACTAACCTTGTTCTTCCGCGAGAAATAGTTCCCTGTAAAACTTAAATTCGTTAGAAAACAATGACGTGTTTCCAAATAATTCCATCGTCAGTGGTAGTATTAAAGGAATGAAACTAAAAAATGCAGGAAAGGTCATATATATTTAAAGATTTTGTATTTTAACTCTTTCCGCCCTGCGGACACTAAAGCTTAGTTCACACTGGACGCGATTCGCTAGCGAAAGCGAAAAACAGAGCGATTAATACGTCAGACATGACGTCGTTTCCGGCGAATTTTACTTCTTTTGGCCAGCCCATTATGTGTTCGCCAAACCCACAATAGGGCTGCCGGATATCGAGGGATGAGCCCGACGTGTCCGGATGGACCACCCCCGAAAAATTCCTGGAGATTTTTCGATCTAGTCTACATTCTATCTTGGATCCTTCGGAGCGGTCGGCTGCCACCTTAATCGCTCTGTCATCCGGCCAATAATATTCGAATGTTCATTAATTTTACAATTATTATATAATTTTTTTCTTATGTATTGTTAAATTATTTGTTATATAAAGTAATTAATTATATTAATTTCTCGATTAACTTTTAATTCATTTATTTCTTAAATTATTTTTTTAAAATTTAGAGTAATCGGTACATTGTTCAAAATACCACGGAGCATTCGATTATATTAACCGAACGCTCCGTGCTGCACCGAGCGCGCTGTGCAAATACCAAAGCTCGATATTTCAGTTTATATTACCATTTGCTAATTAAGAGTTATATTATAAATAATCACAAATATAAAAATTACGTTTTTTAAAAAAAATTACATTTATTAATTAAACTTGAATAACTTTTAATAATAATATTATTATTTTAAGAGTTCTGCTCAAAAACGAACACTGGTGGCGTAATAAATCAAAATGGCGGAAGTTATTTCAGTAACCATAGTAACTTCCTCTAAAATCGTATACTCGATTAATTATCGTATAATTTAAGTAATCGGTGACATTTTACGTTATTCGGAAGGTAAATTATTCAATAATCGATTAAGAAACGAGCCTTAAATGGCTGAAGTGAGTTTTTCTGAGTCGAAATCCAACGAACAAGGTGAGTTAAGGTTTACGAACACGCTGCACCGTTAGGCTTAATATGTTCTTTTTGTATTTCGGAACGGGTGGGAAACGGACGATAACACTAATCTATCGAAGACATATTACGATAAACAATGTTATCTGAAAGATGTATCGCAGTAGTGGATGTTGCCTTATCTGCTGCCATGCTATGTTACGTATTGGTTGATACGCTGTTGTTACATCATCACATTCTCCCCTCTTAACCGCTTAATAACACAAAGTAACGCAATTTAAGAGATTTTACATGCTCTTTAATCATTTCTGATGTCCACAATTTCTTCTATATTCACTGATGAAGATATATGTTCCATTATAATTACACCTTAGGGAGAAGATCAGGTTGGTTAAATGTTATTTTGTAAGCTTAATTTAATGTTTAAAGTTATTTTATGAAGTACAAACAAAGCACAAAAGGCCTAACTCTCTCCGCTGCGGGCGCTAAGAGGCCCTTTTCTTAGTACATTCAACCCCCCTATAACACTGTTTTATATGAATTCCGTGTTGTACGAGTCACTTAGATTTTACAAATACGTGTGCCGGGCTGTGAACGGCTCACGTATTTGTAAAATCTAAGTGACTCGTACAACGTGGAATTTATATAAAACGGAAAAATCAACAGTGTTATAGGGGGGTCAACTGTATACCGGTTATGGGTTTGGTTGGGTGCAGCGAGGCGACCTCTTCCGGTTGTGCCCGTTAAGGGTTTTGTTATTACCCGCCCGGTTTTGGCCACGCCTTCGAACGGGCCGTCGGTAGGGAGAGATGTTTCTCGATCGACCGACTCACAAAACATTCCCGGGATTTATATAAATGAACTGCTTGTATAATTGGATATCTCTCGGAAGTAAATACCGACGACAGAAACACTTTATTAGACAAACAAATGCTTTCGATTGTCTTAAACGGTTATTCTCGGATTCTATTTCAATAATGGTTGTTTAAGATGCCTCCGACTTGTTGACGATCGTTTAAGACGGTTTGAAACGTTTATCTGTCTGGCAAAGGGTTTGTCGTGATGGGTTTTTAGTGTCGCTCTGTTTGTTTTCAATTCCTGAGGTTTCTCGATCCGTCCGGATTCAATTCCGCGTCCCTCAGTTTGGCAGATTGCAACTTTAGTTGCTTGGGTATTTGGCCATCGGACTTTTTATGCTGTTACACTATTGATTTGATAAGTATGTTTGTCTCGCAGATTAATCTTGGCCAGTGAATCTAAAAAATAGATTCTTTGCCCTAGACTAAATATTTAAGAAAATTTATTACTCTCCTTTTGATGTTTATTTGTAAATGAGTCATTTCTAAAGATTAATTTCCTGTCATGGTATCTTGGTTAAAGTCTGGTCGAGTTAGACAGTAATGTACTTAGGTCATATTTACAAAAACCTAAACAAAGCTGCAGCTTAAAGCTTGCCTAATTTATATAGAATTTCATTTCATCTTTAAAAAAATAAGTTTGTATTTGATGTTAGTAGAGAGGAAGAATTGTTTTGAAAGAAAAATAATGTTACAGGTTATAAAATGTCTAAATATGTCTTCAATTCTGTGCTAGAGTTACCATATTTCAATTTTTCTTGAAGAGTGATGTGTGGGGGGTCATTACTGAGGACAACTCCCATTTTAATGTTTCTCAGATAAAAAGTTTTCAAGAAAGGTCTTGCAATATATCCCAGAAAAGCTGTTGTTATAAGCTTCTCTGCTATATTGTCAAGAAACACAAATTAATTTCACTGTACACTAGGTAAAATTAGAAGCATGGGCTGTCGTATTAGCCACAATACTTGTTTTTAATTTTTTCTATTTATTTTCCTGTTAAGAAGGACATCTTATTACTAAATAAGTATGGAAGGAATGTCCTGATTAAATAAGAACAAGAAACTACTACTTTCTACTGTAATATTTATTGAAAAATCATAATTAAAGTGGATATCTATTCTTAAATCTGCTGTTATTGGTGATTAACACGCACTTCCAATTATGTCTTATGTAACGTACACTTGAAAATGCTATCGATACCCAATTCCGACGAGAAGAATTGTATTACCTCTGCACACGATTCGCTATTTTATCTTGAAATAGTCAATAAATAACAAATTATAATTGTTATTAATTTAGTATTTATTTACTTAGTTAATACTTAAATATTGTGAACCTTTGTTCTAACAACACAGGAATCCTGTTTTGTCTGATATACTTGCCTATATTGTTTAATCAAATTCTATATTTAATATGTAAAGATTAAATAAGACTAGAACTGCTCTAAAGTACACCACAGATAACTGATACATCCGTCGAAATAATATGTAGCTATTTGTCTAATTTATACTATAAAAATGATTTTTCTATGGGAAAAATGAACGTCTCTACATAGACTTATGAATACAGAGTAAATTATAATAAATTAATAGTAATAGTTTTATTTCCGAAACATGTATAAAGTCGTTTAAAATGTCCGACCGTCTTCTTTAAACATTGCGCATATTTTTTATATTAATATCGAGTTATTTATCTCCTCGTATAAAGGTTAATGTGATTATTCTGTTGTCTGTCTTATCTTATATAACTCTTTTAAAGTTTTTTAGATGTTAGTTTGAACCACTATAAAGTGAAAGAAGTATATAATTTTTATCAAAGAATAAAGAATAATTTTAGCTATCAATTTTGGAAAGAAGAAATTATTTATGCTGGTATTTGGTATTATTTTTTAAAATACATTAGTCGTAAATTAATACCTACTTGCATTCGGTTACATCCAAGAAACTGAATACGAGGAGGTAGACGAGTACCGACTTACGTCCATTGGTTATGGCATTAAGAGGTTAGCCAAAACTCGTCTCTGGAAAGCGTTGTACTTCCCAGGTCATATAAATCTCCCTCCACCCTGTCCTCTACAAAGCTGTTTGCTTTAGAAAAGAAGTTACAACTGGTAGTTGATAAGTGCTGCTCATTTAAAGATTTAAATAGCTGTGTATATAATATGGAGATTGATAGACCTTCTGTGCACATTTTTGCTGTTTTAAAGAATATTTTAACATTAAATGAGACTTAATTGTACTCAGTTTGTGGGATTTAAAGATAGAATCTTTGGCTCTTATCTTTGATTTTGTCTTCAGTTTGCATGACCTTTGAATCATGCAAACTGAAGACAAACTTCCCTTTCACTGCATGTTCTATTTCCTGCACAATGTTATCAGTATTACTATGAGGGAGAGATGAATACATAGGACTATAACTGGTGTTTTATAAGAGGTAATTTGATATAAAGAGATCATCCTAATGCACTATTGACTGTGGCTGCAGATGCATATTTGGTTCCTAGTGTGTGAGTATGCATTGAAATTTATGGAAATATTTTCTTTTCAATGTAGTCTTTGTTGAGCTAAGACAATGACTTGTGCATTAAATGAGTTTGCTGCTTATTAAACTAGAGGTATTGAAAAGCACTGTCTATATGCTATGGCAAACATAAAGGGATACTGAACTTAAAAATGTTTATGACGGCAAATATGATTTTTTGGACTATCCACAATATGATCGTCGTCATATGATACTTCCTACTATTCGAGTATTCAACCACTTTTATTATCTAGCTGTTATATTGCACATTTCACTGTACTCAGTAGTAGTTTAATTTGAAAGCTGTCTTTGTATTTAAAAACTTTGTTTATATTACAACAAAATCTTCAATTAATTTATAAATATCTACTTGAAATCACCTTTAGTTTGTAACATTGTTAAGTTTTTTAACTTAAATTTATCTTTCTCTTGAGATTAAGTAAACAAATTACGTTTAAATTTAGAAGTCAAAAGTAGTACTGTTTAGTTAGTGATTCTGGGAATGCTCCATCTTCATCTTGTGTAAATTATAATCAGATATTAACATTAGGAAGACTCAAAAAAGGCTACAAATTCCTATTAAGACTCGTGCCATAGTTTTTATGTAATAAATGGTAGTTCGAGTGAAAACTAGTTGATGGAGTCTAGCAGTTCAAGGTCAAGGTTAGGTTTGGAAGGGTTATATTTAATTAAGGTTAATTTTTTTACTTAATCTTATATTAAGATAAGTTGTTTTTAAATCTGTTACTAAATTTCTCATCTTCATTTATGTTGTATCTACTGAATGTAAAACATAAAATAAAGTGAGGCAAACTTCCAATCTTCTTTTATTGGAGTGAAAAATCTAGTACTGTATTGTAAAATAAATGCTGTGATAGTGTGTGACGGATAACATACGGGACTATTTTCTTCATAGTTATATCTCAGATTATTGGTTATTCTTAGATAAAATCACGAAATGCTAATGCTTATCTCTTGATATTCCAACTTGTTAGATGTTGTCTAAAATAAGGTTTTTTGGGTAGCATAACTGGCAATGAACCTGCTTGTAAATGGGAGTTGTGGGTTTGAGTTCCATACCAGGTCAATTTTATCTTCCAGAATACTTTAAATTAAATTAAATTTAACACAAGTTTTCAGCTTAATAGTCTACTGGATAGCTTGATAAGAATCCAGCTACTTGTTTGGATAATTATATTCAAATCACATCCTGTTAATATACTATAATACAATACATTCTTACTTCCAGCATATCTGTTTTATATTTGAACCTGTAATTATTTGTGTATCCATTTCTTTCTTTATTTAAACTGTATTTTTATGTCACTAGACTTTGTAGCTGGTCTTCATTTTGTTGCGTTATCTAACTGTATGCAAAACATACTCTATCTTGTAAGTGTAATTGCATAACCAAGACATTCGTAGTTTGTGTGGTTAGTAAATGAAAAATCGTACACCTGCCCTAATCAATGATGATTTACTTCACTGCTCAATATGGTTTTTAAACCACCACTTGGACTATTCTATTTAAATATTCATAAATTTTTTGATATGGATCTATGTCTCATGTATACTGTGCCTATTTGAAATGTAGCAAAACATGGAGAATCTCATCTCTGGATGCCCAAGTTGTTATGCTAAGTG